GAACGGTTCAATATCGATACAAGTATCGTTGCACCCCTAACAGATACAGATCGATACTGTTCAGATTTTATAAACAGGAAGAAAAGAAAAAAAAAGCAAAATCTTACCTTCTGCATTTCCATAGAAGAGTGTACTGAGCCCTAAAATCAAGATTGAAACATCATCCAACTCTTTGAAAAATGTGCATTTTCAGTTGATGTTCATCCTCAAATCAGTTTCTGAGCTCATAAACTATAAACTTTAGATGTAAAACAACAGTGTATCCCACACAATGTTAAAATGAGCCAAGTCAGCACCAATCACATTCTTAGACAAACCTTTTCACTTCCTCATGATATTTAAATAGTTTCTTTAATCATTAAACAGAGAAAGTCAGTGATGTACTTACAGAATAACTCAAGCACGCTGAGCAAAGAGCGCCTCATCCTCACATCCAGCTCTGCTGCTTTAACTGTTTTACTTTGTACTAAAAATTAAGCAGAAGAAAGAGATGTTGTTATTTATATAGATACAAGTGTAACTTCTTCTTCTGACTCTTTCTGCTTCCTTCCTTTTCACACTGAGCTCAAACAGCATTGTAGCTTCGACTGCAGCAGATTAGCTTGTTTCTTGTGTGGTTCCATTTTTGTTTTCTATTCAAACCTGTTCTATTACTAAACCTGAAGTTTTTCTGACTTGAAGGAACTGAACCTCAACCCTTCTGATTATTAGGAGATTCTAGTTGCTCTGCCTCCTCAGCTACAGCCATCCCAATGACTCCAGCTCTGTTACATTAATTACATGATTTATTTTTAAAATTGATGTTTAACTTTGTTTTTAAGTCCTGTAGCAGCAGTAACTTGAGTGAATGATGCATACTGAGCAATTATACAAAGCACAGCAACAACCGTGCATTGCTTTATTGTGTTAAACAGTTTTATTTGACTGAACTTCCTGTTCCCCGTTTACACATAAAGAGGTGTAATAGCTGCCACATACACACTAGAGCTAATGTGTGAGCAGACAGTAAATTCACTTTGGCCATGTCCACACTAAGGCTATGTCCACACTAGCCTGGATAGATTTGAAAACGGTGTTTTCATCTGAAAACGCTCCGCGTCCACCCTATTGATTTCATGCGTTTTCACTGAGTTGTTCCTCTACATTGAAACGGCCAAAAACACTTACGTTCCAGTACTGCGCATGCGTGAAAAGCAATACATTTCTGTCTCCCACTTATTTACTTTCCAGCTCTTTGAAATGTCGCGGCAAACTGAGGCCCAGCACAGAGGAAAAGCACAGAGTTTTTTAAATGGACTAACAATGAGGTGGAGTTGTTGCTGCGAGTAACACAAAATTACAAAGTTGCAAGAGCAAGTGAGAATTAAAGAATTTGAACAAAAGCTATCACACTGCGATGCGAAAACGACATTTTCAAATGTATCCGCTTTGGAGAGCGTTTTCAAAAAGCTCAGCTTTCCTTGACTGAAAACGCCGTCAAGGATGCACTCCTGGATGGGGATGGAACACAAAAACAACTTTTTCTCTCACTTTTGGCCTTCCGTCCACACTGAGACGGCCTTTTCGGTCAAGGAAAATTGAAAACGCTCTCTAAAGTGGATAAATTTGAAAAACGCAGTTTTCGCGGCACGGTGTGGACTGCGTAAACTGAGACTTTTTAAAACGATGACGCGTTTTAGTCATGTGATGCAGTCATGTGACCAATTAAACTAAGCTAGCAGAGGGCATTATACAGCAGTTGTTTTGTTTGCTCTCAGTTTTGACAACCCTATTAAAGATTAATATCTATTTGTACATGCTCCAGATAGCTTTTCTTCAAATTCTTTAATTCTCACTTGCTTTTGCAATTTTGTACTTTTGTGTTATTCGCAGCAACAACTCCACCTCATTGTTAGTCCATTTTGACGTGACTTTTCAAAGAGCCAGAAAGTAAATAAACAGCAGACAGAAATAACGCAGGTCGAATTGTCTTACGTTTCACGCATGAACAATACAGAAACATAGTGTTTTTGATCGTTTCAGTGTGGATGAACAACTGTTCAGAAACGCTTAAAAACGATAGTGTGGATGCGGATCGTTTTTATAGGAAAACGCCGTTTAGTGTAGACATAGCCTCTGATACAAAAGGTAGTCACTTGTCTGCTTTTACACACATATAAACATGAGTGATATCCCATTCTTAAACCAAAGGGTTTAATATGATGTTGGCCTCAGATCTTCATCTGCA